CTTCCCCACACTGTATCGGGTACCGTATTATTATCAGCGATTCCGGCAAATACGTGGTGATTTCACAAAAAAATTCAGTTTGGGAAAATGACGGTGCTAAATGACAAAGTGAGCTAACATATAAAGGTAGAATAGAAAAATATAGGCCTAATTAAAGCAATCAACTCCAATGGAGACCGAAGACAGTCTTACCTGCTTAAGCATCTGTTGACCGGCAAAGTGCCCGGTGTCAGCCAGCATACGAGCGATTCCCGTAAGTCGTGACACCTGCTCTCGCACTCCACTGCACTTCTGCAGGAATTGTCTGTGCTGATTGTGCAACTCGACAGCCTGTAAGGTTTATACGACGATAAACTTTGACACCATCCGAAATGTGGCACAAAAAAGGACATCTACGATGGATGCGAATGTTAGAACCGGATGCAAGACAATGCTACAACCTTATTACAATGAAAAAATAAACATGTTTCGTAAGTCGCAAGGCTAAAAAAGAACTCGAACATTTTTTTTTCCGGAAGCTAAATAAAAAACGCACTATGAACCAATGTTCAAAAATCATGGAAAACATGAGACCTGCGACGCAGTCTCGCCTATTTCGGCGTGTTCGGTGAGGAGAAGCACGCTTTGCTGTTCCAGCCATGCAGTCATGCGACTGGCGTCGTCCTCAAACAAGCGAAATTGGTAGATTTGCTCCAAACGCGTCCTTCCAGTTTCCCACTTCTGCTGTAGGTGCGCACGAAACTCGTACAACTGAGTTACGGTCTGACGCACTTGCGGGATTAACTGAAGCAGGCAAAAGTCAGTGGAAGGCAAAAGATATCTTAAAAACAAAAAAATTTCAAAGGTAGTACTGTTATGTAAAGTACCAGAATTTACTTTTCAAAAATGCAATTTAATCTAACCAACGCGATTTAAAGCTGATGACTATCGTTTAAAGAAGGATCCATATGAAAATTTGGTACTCAGCTTAAAAAAATGCCGACCAGCAAAATAACAGGAGGGAAACTTTGATTCTTCAGATAAACAAGATGTCAGATGGACAAAAGTCAGCCACGTTTAGGGGTTGGGTATTCATGGAACTCATGCCTTACGTAAAAAAAAATATTCTGTTGAAAATACCCCTTCAACCACCGTTAATGGTATTAACGGTGTATGAAATATGTGAATACGCTGTTGAAGAAAGTGATGAGTTTGGATATTAGAAACTAAAGCTGAAGGTTTCAGTCAAGTATCTACCTAATTAATAAGGGGGAGGAGCTAAGACAAACCGCCATAAGCCCCCCATCATCTCATAAATGAAAATCTAAAATCCGAGTTCGAAAAAAGTGAGCTTCAGGTGAGAGGGCTGATGAGCAAAAAGCAGACTTACCTGTTGGAAGTCGGGATTCATGGATACCCAAGAAGAGGGCACGTAAGAAGCCCCAGAGCTGCTAGCTGAATTACCAATGCTACTAGGAAGACCGGTTGATGTGGTTGAAACAGCCGCAGCTGCACCGCCCGATGCGGAGGCGGAGGCAGCTGCAGAAATGCCATAACGCAACCATGCCGTTAGACGATCAGACTCCGCTTCAAGAGCTGGTACGGGAGCTTGCATTACCTGAGGCAAAAGTGCATAGCATTCAGTTCAGTATTCTCAAAAACTAAGTGGAACAAATTCATTAATATTTTGAAAACCCAGATTGCTTACGCATAAACAACAACCTGGCTCTAGTTTAATGCAATGGATCTCAAACGCACCTTCAAACGAACTGATCGGTGATCCTCTAATGCGCGTTTTGACTCCTCCACGGATTCTGGATTCTGTTTTTGGTCAAGAAAGCAGTACAGTTGACTGAATTTATCTGACATGTCATGGGCGAACATAAAGAACTCCTCCAAACAGCACCGAATTTGAATCCACTCCTCATGATTATAGGGAAGAGTTCCCTAAAATGTACGGAGGTTCATTGAAACTGGCGTATGTCCAGTGTACAAGAGACCCATGCGAATTTGACTAAGAACCAATAGAGGAAAGTTACTGCACATGCATAACGTGAAAGTGCTCATTTTAAGCAAAAATGACCCAGTGGTGAAGTCAAGCAAAGAGCGGTGAGGAGGCCTTGCGGAGGAACACAATGTCACAGCAAAGAATAAGAATATTTAACAAGTTAATGTA